CAATTTTCTGAAAAGAGTAGACACGGGAATTTCGCGAAGGGCATGGGAATTACAATAAAACACTAGAGATTATAAAACGAGTGTTAAATAGTAAAAAGTATACAAATCAAATGTGTTTCTAACTCAAACATAAATAAAAAAGATAACTTAAATATGTTTCAAAATCTTAAAAAACTAAAAAAACTTATTTTTCAAAAACGTCGAGTTCCGTTGGGTATGAATAGTAAATTCGATTGCCTTTAGAGACAAGAGTTGGATCCGGAAGAACACGTAAAATATTATTAAAATCTACATATGAGATGTCTTCTTCGTCCAAACTAAATAACTTTGATTTACTTTCGCATATTTTGAGGAACATAACTTTAACTTCTCCATCTTCATCCATCTCGCTTTGGCATATAGCTGCATATTTGTATTTTTCATAGGAAACATTTTCTTAGCGTCAATTTTAACTTCGACAACAATATGGCAACCTGGTTTTATTTTTAAAGACATTACAACTCCATCTTCTTCTTCAGAATCACTGTAAACATCTTCATACCTTAACTTTGAAGTCTTGTTTGTACAAGGAACATCTTTAGAACCAACATCTTCATACTTCAAACATCCAAGTCCATAATGATGGCATGTTTCTTCACAGGTGAAACAAGACAAACTGCGAAACCAACATTTTGACGAAAATTTTGATACTACCTGATGTACTTTTAAAAATAGTACCTTTAAAAATAAGGTTATCATTTTGTTCCACTTGTTGCCTTATCTTATTAATTTCTTGTTCCGTAATGACACAGAACTTAATGTTTGAACAATTTTTCTCAAGCACGTCTATAAGTGTTCCTATTAAATCAATCAATACCATCAGGTGGTCCTTTTCCATGTCCAGCTTCGCAATAATTCCATGTCACCATTTTTATTTGACTAAAGGTTTAATTTTTATTTGACAATATGGAAGAACAATGAAATAGCTAGTTCAGCTGGCGCCAATGATGAAGGAATAGAGTTGTTAGAAATACTTTTACTACAATCCATAATACTCATCTTACAATATAGAAGATGCATTAGACATAGCTAGTTTAGCTGGCGCAAATGATGAAGAAATAGAGTTGATTGATGATTATTATCTGTATAACGTAAATCAATTGTAATAAAGATTTACTAACTAAAAATAATACTAAAAACAAAATTCATTAAATAAAACAAAACATAAAATAAATTTAACCAAATATCTATCTAAATATAAGTAAAGTTAGACGACTTTTTTATTTCTACTCGAAATTTAATAGGTTACGACAAAATAAGGGATCATTAAATAAAAGTACGTTGGTCTGTATTTCATTTATACATACATACAGGCGGCGTTTATTTTATTAAGTAATAAAGGACGTACAACTGCGCTTGTGTATATGCTAAAACAAACGTGCGTTTTTTAAAGGATCACATAAAATATGTCTAAAATAACTCTCTATTTATTTTGTTAATAATTGCTTTTTTTGTTAGTTATAATATGGCGCCATCTATTAGTTATATTGCGATTTAAAACGAAAGAAAAACTGTACATTCTTGTACTTTCCGTACAAGTTTTTATAAATTTTCTTTTGCACAAACCTTCTCCTGATAATAAACAAAACACAGAAAAAAAATAGAATTATCTAATTTGGTGCAGCCGTTCTGAAGTGATGCCAGTACAAAAATTTCGGCGATTAATACAGATAACATAGTGATATTATTAAAATACATACGGTAACTCTGGAAACGGTACCACCAATTTGCAATGGTCAATTGGCGAACTGTTTGCGTTAATTTTAATTAATGTTTGGAAATATTAAGTAGTTGGTAGTAATACTTGAAATAATGGAAATATTGTGTATAGTCGATTTACTGGAATTGGGAAAATTTTGTCATAATCATTATCGAAAACATAAAAATTCCTACCAGAGGAATATATTATAATTAATCTTCAACCAAAACCATACAATCATGCAACTTTTAACTCTCGGTATTTGACAAAAATTACACTGGCTACGATTTAATTATTTCACATTTTCAAGAACTTCTTATTCATTAGCAAAACTATACCCATATCTATACTGATGGTTCAAAAACAACAGTTGGTATGGTAACTCCAAACACGATCCTTAATTTCGGGTTAACGGCAGTTAGTACTATCTACACAGAGAGCTGAAATGTATGCTCTTTATCGGACCGTAGAATTATTAGCCAGACAACAAACAGCAGGTATGTAATTTTAACAGGCTTTTTATTGCCATACAGGGATTCGACAACTCTTCCCAAACAATTGTCTTCTGAAGAAAATCAAACGTGCTCCTTATCAAGTCCACACAAATAAAAATGAGTAAATATAATCTGGATTCTATCTTACCTAGAAACAGGCAACGAAATAGCGGACTACAAAGTGATAGAAACGATCATCAGTGAAACTTCTGAAGTTCTGGAGATATTGGTATCAAGTGACATTAAGGTGTTCATTAAACAACGGGGAACGTGACAAAAAAGATGGAGTGAATCAAATTTAAAGTTAAGACAAGAGTCATCCACCATTATTCCGTGGACTGTCTCAAACTCTATCACACAAGGTTAATATAAGATGATTTAATTAAAAAGTGCAACGAGCTGCGATGTGGAAATGAACAATTGAACGCATATTGAAATAGACAAAAAGAAATAAAATAAGACTTACTCACAATCAGTTTAATTGTACTTCCAAGACGACAGGTTTAGCTGTCTACAATTTGCCAAGCATCTTCAGGTCAGTCGGTACAAAGTAAATTAAATGATGCCGGTACAAGAATTAATAATTAATTATATGGAGAACATAGTTCAAACTATCCTGTATTTTTACTATTGTAACTGTTTGATAATTAGCGGGGAAGTTTCTTGAGGAGATAGATGTTAACAAATGAAGTAGGAATAAGGTATATTGTGATTGTTTGTTAAATGAAAGTGATGTTATATATTATTTAATTCATTAAAAGTTATTTATATTTATTCAAGAGATATATTTTAGAAATGTGTGTTAATTTATTGAAATTTTTTTATTGAAGTGATAGTTGTATGAAAATGAATTAAATTAGATGTACAATTATGTGGGTATGCAATTCCTTTAACTTGTAATTATCAAATTTCTTTGATAAAGTTGAATTTGATTACTGTTTTTGGCAGATAATTGTAAAGTCAGATATGTTAAAATTATTAAAACTAAAACAATTAAGGACACTTAGGGACAAATAGAACACAATTAAAAGGACAAAACAGAGATTAAATTTAAAATGGGGTGACTTATTGGCACTACATCTCTTAGTAGGAGAGGAACTGGAAAACTGGAAAACTTGAAGATGCTTTGCAAATTGTAGAAAGCAAAACCGGTCGTTTTGGTAGTAAAATTAAACTGATTGTGAGTATTATTTTATTTCTTTTTACCTATTTGAAATGGACTCACACAGGCAACTCATTCATGATTTGAACACATATTGTGCGAATGTGAATTCTACAATATCTAATGTAATTAATAACCATCATAATGTATTAATATCTAATGTCTTATAATCACAAGCTGTAGGCTAAAATTGCAAAATTTTACCAATATTATAAATTACTTCAAAACTATTTTTATATATTACAAAATTTAATGTATGCAAATATTTATGCAATTTAATTGTAAACTATTAATTTGTTTCTAAAGATCATCTGGTAGATACGTTAATAAAAAAACATAAAATTTGCCAGCCATTACAAATTGATATATTGTGAAAAACATTTTTATTGTTTGTTTTGTTTTTTTGTTTGTTTTTTGTTAGTTTAGTTAGTTAATTTTTATTTTGAATCTCGGAATTACGGATAAACAACTTGTTCGATCGCCTGAATCTTTCAATACTTGTTACTTTTGTGTTTATAAATCATAGAACGATCGACATAACCTACTTTTAGAATTATCATGAGAGTGGAATGTGTTAATTTCATTAATTCTATAATCCTTTCCGCTATCATTCTGCGATATTCTCAATTTTGGTAACATTACGTAATATTTAAAATAAAATGTTTAGGTCTGATCACATACATACTTATTTTAAAAATACGATGCTAATAGAAGCTAAATTTTAAACTAGAACATGTTGATTTATTTCAAACGGCCACTAGAACGCTATATTCTTGATAATATAAATGGATACATAAAAGGGGCAACAACACTAACTTTTAAACAAGGTCATCGATCGCAATATTAGGTCTTCAACATAAAGCTACCTAATAAGGATTTTAAATATTTTCATTATCTAACGTAAAATATTACAGATCATTCAGTCCCATTTTTTGGTGTAAAAAATTGCTCTCGCTTTCATAGTTTGTTTTTTAGTTTAATTGTGGGTAGGATTTATGTGAACAGAGCCCAATTGATTTAAAATCAATCTCCTTCCCTGCTCGGCTACTGCAGCTTGACGTGAGATGTTCATATTACGATTGCCCTTCTCTTAGCATCTTTCACTTTCCGGTAGTTCACATTTTCTACATCATCTTTTACTTTCCGGTAGTAAGAATTTCTTGTTCCATATGCCATCAGTTTTGCTGCATATGCTGCATCTATTGCAGTTTTGGCTTTATTAATCCTCGGATATATTCAAACCGCACAAATCAAAAGGATCTATCTTTCTCTTACAAATACAAGTGCAAAACAGTACCTACATGCTGAAACATAGTGACTTAATAGACCCAAGTAAATCGTCAACTTTTAGCATTAGTTTATGAAGATTACAAGAAACGTACGTATGAAGATATACATGATTGATTTAAAAAACATGTACTCCTGTATGGTATATCTTTCTTTGTTTTTTCAATTAATCCCGATAGACTAGAACTATAAATAATTCTATCCGTTTTCTACAATTTTCTAATTTCATGTATTTTTTAAGGTTATTAATGAAATACACACCAAGAAAATAAGTCAAGATTCATTCAAGTTTATAAAACTATACCAAATAGCTACTTACTACCACTCAGCTTCTCTTGGAGTATCATTAAATAGGAAAGCCTCTTTACTGAGATCAATTTCTTGAAAACCAATTGCATATAAGTCTGGAGGATTGTCATCGTAACTTAACCAATTCTTTAGAGATATTGATGGTGGTTGTCCATTCACATTCCATGTACCAACAAATATTCTGCAAATAAAATAAAAATGCCAGATTAAAAATTAATGCTAACTAAAATATGTATTGAGAAATTACTCAGGTATCAGTAAAAATTAGCACCCTTTCTATATGACGCAGGGCATGGCTGTGCCGATCTGAGACTGTTACTCTGAACTTTCAGACTCCGCAAAAGACAGACTCCGGGGGAAGCAAACACACATGCGTAACCACAAAATACACTATGTTCAATACTACTGTGTTTCCAAATCCCGAGGCGCAACCACATCGTACACAGGAAATGCATAGTACCTAAAGGGGACGGAAAAGTATTCCCGAAGTAATGTCTTAGTGCACCAGGACCAAATAAAAGATCCATGTGATATTGCCCGAGAAGTCTGTAAAAAATTATGACTCGTATAATGTTAAGTGTCATAAATTATATTAAAGATACCACACAGTGCTTTAACTTGGGTGTGTCAGCACTTACTTCATTGGACCAAGTGTTTTTCCATTTTTTGCCGTTTGTATTGCAAACGCTTTCTGTTATAGATCTACCTGATATAGCAATCTGTATATAGTGTTCTACTCTTTCATCTTTAAATAATTCAGAAATGTAGTTTTTTCATTCTTTTAACTGTTTATTAATATCTAATATTCTGGATACGTTTTTGTCTTTTAAAATTTGGATAGTTGCTTTCGTTTGATTTCAGCGACTTCTTTTACTTTCTTTTGCAGATGAAATATATTGCGTTTCTTTCCATATTGTTCAATTTCATTACATTCTTTACTATGCAATTGTGTTTTCGCATGTCATCTTCTGCCTGATTATTGCGTGGATCCTCCTGTATTCGTTATATCTTTATCTCTGATTTCTCTTCTTTGATCCATGAGTCTCAGTATTTCTTCTGTTCCACCCTTGTTTTCTTCTTGTTTTTACTGCACTTAATTTCGTTTCTTGAACGGTCTTTTTTATATATTTAATTCTCGTCCAGTTTTTCTCAACCTACTTTCATTTTTGCTTGATGTGAACTTTATTTTTTATTCTAATACACTGGTTATTTCTTGTTTTACGATATCATTTGAATCTTTTCTCTAATAGCAACTGTTTGCTTATTCTTCCCTGTAACTGTTTTCAATCTCAGTATTATTTTTCTTATCAGAATATTGTGATCAGTAGGTACATCGGCACTTGAATATGTTTTAATTGCTAATACTGAATGTCTGTATCTGTTTTGAGAATGTCCCAAGCATGTTCAATAACGATTATGTCGGTGGAATTGGAGGGCCACTGTAATGTAGATATTCCTTCTTCTTCTAGAAAATTTTGTACTGTTGCTGTTCAATGAGGAGGTGCGTTGTCATGCATACATACAAATTCATCACCTACTGCCCCTCGGAATAGACGAACGACAGGATTTAAAACTTCCTCGATGTACACAGCATCAGTGACTCTTCTCTCCAGAACCAGCAGTGGCGTCCGTATACCACTTATAATACCACCCCAAACCATAATACTGCCACCTTTAAATGGGACACGCAGTTGGGCTGTTTCTAGTCGGGCTTGTCGTCCTGGGGCCCTCCAAACCAGTGTTCTTCGCGAATCAGATACCAAGTCAATTTTTGACTCATGAGAGAGCAACACGTTATTCCAGTTAGGACCATGATGCACCATTTCTCTAGCCCATTGCAACCTTACTATTTTGTGTTAGTAGGTTAGTTTAGGAACACGTAGCGGTTTTCTACGATACAAATTTACCGCGTTTAGTCTGAGTGTTATTTTTTGAAATATTCAATCCTTGAAGCCTAGAAATTTCTCTGTATATACCACTTGTAGATTTCAGACGATTTTTACGAGCTATCAATGTTATTTGCCGGTCTTGTGCTCGACTTCTACCATTTAAGAGACGATCCTTGATGTCATTTGTATCTTGGATTTTTTTTTAATTTTCGATACAGCACTCTGAGTAACATCAATAATATTCGCGATATAACTTTGACAAAAGCCTTGTTGTAACAAAGCAATTACTCTTGATCTGTCAAAATAAGATATCACGTTTCTAGGCATTTTTAAACGGATCAATCCAAATTTAAACAAAGACTGAGATAATATGTAAATACGCTAATCAGTTGATTGTGACCAAAACCATCCAAAAATGATTCAAATGTTTTATCATTTTTATTTAAAACCGGTCTAGAATGAATATCAATAACAGTTTTAAAACCACCATGGGCGATATATTATTTGTACGTATTCCACACCTTTGGACATGTGTGTATTTAGTTACGAACCACACGTTCAGGTGTATCTGATGGTGATCTGCAGGTGTAAAGACGACGCTTTGGAAGTTTGAAAATTGTGTTTGTTATTACTAGTTGCTTTTGTACACAAAAAGATGCCAACATATCTCCTCTTTCATTTCATATTCCCAGACCATATTTTCCCATGCCATAATATCTTTCTGTTCTGCTTCACCAATCTTCCCATTAAAATCTGTTTTTAGAACGCCGTTTTATACAGCTTTGTCAGTTTCCTTCGTTACAACCACCATTTTTGTGTTTTGATCTGTCTTCTTCTGAATAGTATACAATATGATCATCTGTAGTTTCTTTGCCAGACCCTGGCAATCTCATTTCACTTATTCCAAGTATACTTACATTTAGGCGCTTCATTTCTTTTATTGTGTTGTGAACCTTTCCTGGTTTGTACATGCATCTTACATTCCAAGTTCCTATTTTTGTTTTTCATCAGAAAATATATTCATGCTTCTAGCTGATCGGGAGATTCTTAGCTCTCCTGCTCATACCTCGTGGTGTTGGCTATGGACTGTATGGCTCGTCTAGCATGTCATAGCATGGAGCATAGAGTGCCGTCATTTTTACAATGTGGACATCCCAGCTCCATGGACATTAAAATACACATCGTTTTCGAAATTTCCTGATGAAGGCTGGTTTCCTAGTGGAAATATATAAGGCTTTGGAATTGATCTGACGAGCTGACGATATTCTGTAGGTCTTGGTTTAGATGATTATTTTTCTATAGTTACTAAAATACGGATATTCTACGAATATATGTTTAACAAATAAAATGCCACCCCAGTTTACACATGAACGTGAATCTTGAGAAGTCATTAAATGTTTATGTGCTAGTCTTGTATAGCCTATTCTTAGTCGGCGGGTAAAACATTTTGTTCATTTTGTTTGTTTGTCTAAGACCGTAAGATGGTATTAAAAAAAGACTATAAGTCTGTATGTAATTGAATGGGGCTTGTTGGGGGGTTCATCTGATGCTTGTCAAAAATTAGTTTACTGACTGATTAAAATCTACTATGAATCTATTCCAATAAAATTTAGTTGGAATTAATATTGGAGCTGTAGCTGAAAGATCAAGATAATTCAGACGTGGTGAGGTATACTGTGGAATTTAAAAAAGAGAAGTACGGTTTAAGAGGTCATTATTTAGTACTGGAGGCTGGATTTTCTGTATTAGCTGATATTTGAGCCGTATATTTCAAGAGGAGTTGCCGGAATCGTAGCCAACGGGAAAGTTGGTTAGCATCTATATATAAACTCTCTGCGAGGTTCGATCTGAAGGCTCCAGGGCAAATTCTTAGTGCAGTGTTGCGTAGAGAATTAAAAAGTTTTAAATCTAATTGGTTAGCTGACATACAAATAAAACTACAGAAATCATTTTAAGTCTTCTAAATGACATTTACAAGTGAGTTTATTGTTAAATATCCATCATACAATCTTTATATTCCTTAGGACAGGTGCCATTTATAATTATTTTAAGATTCACAGTACTTCCAAACTGAAATTGAACGAATTCAGTTCTGTAGGTATGTGTAAGCGCTGAAATTCTGTTGAAATTTTCTGGCATAAAAAACTACTCTTCACATAAACAAAACAGTGATTCATGTAATAGTATTATAATCACCTCAAAGTGAGTAGTATATAGTTAATTTGCAAAATATTTAATACAAAAACCTATACCAATAAAGATACCTTTTTTGTTTATATTATTCTGTGATAAGAACATTTTAGACTGTAAGAACATTCGCCTGTTTACTTGATTCGCATAGGTAACCAGTTATACGGTATTCTGTATAAACATTTGTCTATCACAAACACTACATATAAATATTAGATTAATGCCAAATTGCCTCTGACTAATAGTAAGACGAATACTAGTTCTCACATTGTAAATAATAGTAATATGACTTAAAATAATAGTCCTCCAGTTCCATGTATTGCCATCGTCAGATAAACACCTAAACTCAGGTACCTTAAGAAAAAGTAGGTTTAACCTACTTTAAATAATAACCGATAACACTAATATTATTTGATTACGTCAAATCCATTGGAAATATAATTGGGCCCAAAAATATCAGCTTTGTTTCCAGAATTTCAAACAACAGGTTGTAAATTTACTTAAATAGCATCGAATATGTGGATCTCTACCTACTAATGATCCCGTTGTTCGTGTAAGAGACCTAGACCACAATATAAAAAGACTAGTTATACCTGCCACACGTCATGTTCTGTCAAATATCTGTCCGTCTTTTACAAATGAGTTGATTGAGTCAGCTCTTAAAGAGTATGGTACACAGATCCAAATTTCATTGGTCATTCCATTTGAAAGTATCGCACATCCCGCATATTTTTGTTCGCCGATAAGATGCTCTGCTTTTTATGTAAACAATCTGGACATGTAGCTAACATTAGCCCAATACAAATTGTCCTACAGTTCTTACACGATACACTATCCTCACATGGACTTGGACTGAAGACAGTTTCCTCGAATTCAATAGATTCTAGCGTAATCAAAGTCTCAGAAACACAAGAAAAAACTTTATCTGCAATGCTTTCTCCTGATCAAGATACACACAAAAAAATGAAACAAGCTAAGAAGAGGTTAAAATAGATTCAACGGATAATTCCAAAATCTCTGATGCCTCCAAACAAACAATAAAATATTGTTTTAGAAAGTCATTACTTCTAAAAATATACATTAAAATCGAAAATGCAAAGCTTTGAAATTTATCATAAAAGTTAAATAAAGTTGGATCTTCACATAATCCGATTATTCACTTTTGCGATCTACTAACATGATAATTAGCATCCATTGCTCTTTTTATTTATGTTATTTTGTCAACATATAATCTTGTTTTGTATTCTTTAATGAAGAAGATGGAATTTCCAACGTTGGACATTGCGAAACGGAATTCATTACTAGGTTTGCTGACGTTTCCACCCTAGAATAATCTTAAGGGAATACAATTGACAAGTTGCTTATTGCCACTTAGAATAGGTACAGACTCACATTTTTCTCAAACCCACCAATCGACAATGAATGGTTGAAAAAAATAATATTCACAGATAAACATAGAATGTCAAATTATTAAAATAATGACCAAAATGAGGTCTACAGAAGAACTGGAGACAATTATTCTGCCTATTATCGGTCAGTTACTTAGAGTGTCTCCTGGAACAATTAAAACGGCTTGCGAGCTGTGCAACAAAAGACATTTAAATATTTATTTTATAACAAGATATTTGATAAAGATCGAGATGTCACAAGAAAAAGTTCCAGAAAAATACGAAAGTACTTACACGATTTTATATTTACAGTACCAAACAATAAACAAATTTCCGCGAACATTAATTTTTATAAATTTATCAGATATACTTACGTAAATTCTTGTTTCTGGGTAAACTCCGGTTCTTTTAACTTCAATTGATACTTTAACATAGATTCTCTATTGATTGAAGTTTGACCTTGAGCAATTTTTTGCCTAGTAACAGGAATATCATCCTAAAATATTATTTTTCTAATTAGATTTTTATAAACTTTATATAGGGTGATTGATGGAAAATTGGCCTACACTAATAGGTAGAAGGGGGAACCGAAACGGGTATATATCACATAACATGTAATGAATCTCTTATTGCTTATAAATAACCAATATATATATATATATATATATATATATATATATATATATATATATAATATATATATACATATATATATATATATATATATATATATATATAATATATATATATATATATAATATATATATATACATACAGATTGAACGAAATAAATTCGGAACATAGGAATATAATGTATTTCGGCTCAATTCTGCTGTAGGTGGTTGGCCAACAAAATATTGTCAAATATTTATATTATAAAAATCCAATACTTCAGTGGGCTGCTGGATTCTGAACTCATAAAAATTGAAAGCTACACATAAATCTACGATTTATGCTGTCAAACCAGTTATAGTCCAGGAAATGAAGCATTTCACCTCGCAATTATTTCGTGCTCCCTGGATTGACTTGAAATTTAACAGAGGGTAGGTAATAGCCTAAGGATCAAAATCTATATCGAACCAAAGTGCGCCAAAGCCTAGGGGTGGTTGCCACCCCATCTCCGGGGTGAATTTTTTTTTTACGTTTTAACTACAGGTTTCGATTAAAAAAGTGATTCTAAACAAAAAATGTGCTATACATTTTTTTTATAAAATGATATTTTTCAAGTTATTCGCGATTGAAAGTAATAACTTTTAGACGAAAAAATCCACGTTTTTAATCGATTTTTCGCGAATAATTCGAAAATGGTGCATTTTATCAAAAAAATTGTAGAGAACAAATTTGTAGCTTTTAAAAAGACAAATACAATTCATTTTTTAAAATGTTTTTGGGATATAACAGGAACCGAAATACGGCCTATTAATGTTCAGCGGTTTTCTTCAAATGCCAAATTTGAAAGATTCAAAATCAAATATCGGGAAAATGATGCATTTTTGGAAGAAAACTCACAAAACCTTTTTTAAAGAGCATAAATAGACCTATCATAAAAAAGACTCTAGCTGAAAAATTGAGTGAGTTATGATGAAAATAAGGTCAATACCTCATTTTTTACGAAAAAATCGATGAAAACAACCCCCTAACCACCCCCATAATTAAAATCGATCTTCACCCTTCTGAAATTCCCTTTGTACATGTATTGTTAATATGTCCAAGAAGTTTGACCCATTTAAAATGCTTTGTGTTATAAAAAGTACAGCTTAAAGCGAGAAACGATTTACAATTTCATATTTTTTACCCTTCTTTTTTTAAATATGCCCGAAAATACTGAATATATAAAAAAAATACAAATTACCAAATTGTAGCTTTTTTAATGACTAAAATTATCCTTCATTTAGATTTGTTGTACAATGAATATTTGGCAAGATATAGCCGTTTAAAGCATCGATTTACGATCAAGCACCATCTTTTTCGATCCCTTTAAACTCACCCCATTTAAAAACCAAGGGTTCCAAAAAGATTTAATTCACAGATTCTTGTAGCTCTTAAAAACCTCTACAAATCGTTTTTGAAGAAACACTCTATCGTTAAAAATTAAAGGAAATACGTTAAAAAAAACCAGTGAATTTTTTTCCGGAAAATTTTATTAGTATAGTACAGTACATTTCGGAGCATAGTAATCTACAAAACCGGTATATTAGCTAGTGGGGCGTTATACATTCGAAATTTTAAGCGTTCTTATTTTGAAATCCCATACAACAGAATAAAACATCTGCTCATATGTCTATGGCTTGGCAATGAAAATATTAGAGCAACAGATTGGGGATGGTATTCCAAAGATGGTTTGTTATTACCCGTACGCATGAACAAACAACCTGCACTCGATGAACTTTTGAAAATTATTTTTTGGCAATGCAAAAAAGGATGCGGTGTTTCATGTGGGTGCAGAAAAGTTGGTTTATACTGTAACTCTACTTGTTCTGGGTGCTCAGGTGAAGGGTGCAATAATAGTCCACCAATAATTGAAGATGAGGATGACATAGATCACGATGAAGATGTAATTGATGACGAATAAAATTAATATTACAATTGTTTTACCTATAAATGTAAATATTTTCAACTATTTATGTAAATGTATAAGAATATATGGTGCCTTTTTATGTTGATAATTTTTTTTGTATTTAATTCTACTTTTTTCAATTTATATCTTATAAATTAGTTTATAAAAACTGCAATGTTGTAAAGGGTGATTTTCAAAAGTTGAAAAGTTGCAAAATTTTGGCAAAAAATTGTTTTCACCTATAGCACTCATAACAATTGATTTTTAAGGGTTGAAAATGTATGAATTTGTATTTTAAAGTATAAAAAAATCACTATTTAACTAATCCAAACCAAATTTCACTCATCTTAAGATTTATAATATTATTTTACAATTTTTGAAAATTAGAAGTAGTTTTCACCCCTAAGAACAATCAGGGTTCATCGGCATGACTAAACTATAAAGCAGAGGGTGAGTTGAGCTTAATTCCAAATTTTTATGCAAATCGTTCCAAGGTGAAATCATTTTCTCGCATTACTAATTTTTTTATATTAATCTCTAATAAGGGTCGCTTTTTAAGGGTTGAAATATGATGGAACTTTATTCAAAAGCACGAAACTATCATTATTTAATTAATTCAAACCAAATTTTACCCATATTCAGGTTTAATATGTTATTTTATAATTTTTGACAATTACGGGTAGTTTTCACCCCTTAGAACAATCAGGGTTCGTCGACATGACATAAACTATAAAGCAGCGGGTGAATTGAGCTTAAATCCAATTTTTTATCCAAATCGATCCAAGGCGAAATCATTTTTTTATAATTGGTAATTTTTTTACATTAATCTCTAACAAGGGTTGCTTTTTAAGGGTTGAAATATGATGGAACTCTATTCAAAAGTATAAAATAATCATTATTTAACTAATTCAAACCAAATCTTACCCATATTCAGGTTTAATATGTTATTTTATAATTTTTGACAATTAGGGGTAGTTTTCACCCCTAAACCCTCAGCGCACTTCGGTTCGATATAGATTTTGATCCTTGGGCTATCACCTACCTTTTGTTAAAATTTCAAATGGATACATGCAGGACGAAAAAATTGCGAGGTTTTAACTATTTTCGAGCTTTATTTCCTGAACTATAATCGTTTCCTTAGACAAACCCGTCTTATGCAAACAACATTGTTGTGAGACAGATAGTTGAACGATATTTTATACAATGTCTATACCTAGGTATGGATTTATTTTTGTCCGAGTTTTATATTGGTCCACTATTTCAAATGCAGTTCAAACACACATGTATTAAATTGTATGTTCCGTTTTAATTTGGTTCAATCTGTATATATATATATATATATATATTATATTATATATATATATATATATATATATATATATATATATATATATACGTCTTCATATCAAAGCGAGATCCGATTAAATCGATGACAACCCGAGATCGACCAATAGGAAATTAATTAATGGAGTATATTGTTCATAACTATCTTTATAATTAACATATTAATCATGGCACACTTAGAGGGGAAAAGATTTTTGAACTTAATTTTTTTTGATAAATTTACAACAAAATGAGATCCGTAGCTGAAAAGGGAAGGGAAGACTTATATACGATATTTTAGATATTTACAGATCAACGCGAGATCAGACACTGTTGCCAGCTCTAAAGAGTATTAGTCGAGCGACCGGAGCTCGTGTTGTATTGCATATTTCCTACTCAAACAGTAAAGTAATTTGCGGTTATGGTGTTTTGTATTTTAAAAATATTGCAAGGCCAGCGGTCAGTTGAAGTAGTGAAACAAGAAGAAGCTTAAGTAATGATTATAATTTTTATGTATATTATTAAATAATTCAACATAAACTTTATAAACCGAATTACTAAAATGCTCTGTTTTATTGAATTTGTGAAATCTATTCTCAAAGCTATTTTTGTTTATTATTTATGTACAAAATTAAAAAGGGGAAATTATTTAAACTAAACAGTTTATCTGTATAACAAAAGCTATCATTTTAACATTCTAATCGTGTTTTAATATAAAAATATTAGTTTTGTACAAGAGTAAATACAATTCCATACTGAAGAGTAAATAAGACTGGAAAAAGGCTTCTAGAATAAATTTTGGTGGGCTTTTTGTTGCTAAAATGCAAAACCAATTTTTATTCGTTTCAAATATCTTTCTACAAAATCACTTGGTCGTCCAAAATCGAAGCGGGAGGGGAGTGGTGAGGAGCCTTACAAAAAAAGTGCTAATTTGTTTTTCGTCATTTTTCGGATCTACGATATCCGAAAACTCATTCTTCAAATTTGCATATCGATCCGGACATTAGAAATATTTTTATTTTATTTATAAAAATACGTCAAATATTTAAAAATAACGAAAAATATTGGGTCTAGCAAAAAATGGCTTTCTATAAAAGTTATAGACCAAACATCAGAGAACATCTCGGTTTGTTTAGAATGTCGATTGGATAAATAGTTTAAGAAAAAATTAAATAAATCGAACGGCATGTCACGACGCACAGTGGCAAACGCAGAGATGCGAGGAAGGGCGAGATTCATAATCTGAAGTGAACCTCAAATCGACTCTAGTGATGGCGATGTTGTTAGGGTCGATTTTACATTGAAATTTTGTTGTGTTGTATATTAGATTGCGAAAGTGCAATCTAATGCATTGTGCATTATTTTTTACTAATAGCACGAAATCCACTGAGCTGAGATTTTTAATATTAGAAGTTTTAAATTATTTTAATGAACAGCAGCAGGTATGACAGTGAACTTGAGTCAAAAATCAGATATGGCATGTTTCTTTCCGTAAAGTCCATTTCCATTTTAGTTTGCTGAAAGAAGCGGAAACTGGAGAATACATTTTTGTTCTAGTTTTAGAAAAATGTACCCCTATTTCTTTGCATTTGACCATGTGAACTATTCAATTGGGG